CCAGGATCTTCTGGCTTTCAGAGTTTTCATTGAGAAGTCAGGTGTAATTCGGATATGGCCTTTTTGTTTAGCTGCTCTTAATATTTTCTCTTTATTCTGTAGGTTTGATGTTTTGATTATTATGTTATGTAGTGAGGGGACTTCTTTTTCTGGTCCAACCTATTTGGTGTTCTGTAAGATCCTTGTATTTTCATAGGCATATCCTACTTTAGGTTATAGAAGTTTTCTTCTATGATTTTGTTGAGTATGTTTTCTGTACCTTTAAGCTGTATTTGTTTGCCTTCTTCTACACCTATTATTCTCAGGTTTGGTTTCTTCACAATGTCCCATATTTTCTGGATATTTTGTGTTAGGGATTTGTTGAATTTGAGATTTTCTTTGGTCAATGACTGTATATCCTCTAATGAGTCGTCAACACCTGAGATTCTCTCTTCCATCTCTTGTATTCTATTGGTGTAGTTCCTGATTGTTTATACAGATTTTCTATTTTCAGCATCCCCTCATTCTGTGTTTTCTTTATTGTTTCTAGTTCAGCTTTCAATCATGTTTGAGTTATTTCCTTTATTTGCTTGGCTGTTTTTTCTTATTACTCTTTAGATTATTTAAGACATTTGTTTATTTCTTGAATTTTTTGGTTCATCTTTTCCCCCATTTCATGTATTTTTCTTCTATTTCTTTAAGGCATTTCCTCTTTTCTTCTTTGAGGGTATCTATCATCTTCATAAAATAATTTTTAAGGTCTGTCTCTTCTGCTTCATCTATGTTGTGCTTTTCAGGTCTTGCTGGTGTGGGGTCTCTAGATTCTGGTGGAGTCATGTTGGTCTTTCTATGCTGAGTGAGTTCTTATTCTGCACTCTTCCCATCTCTTCTTCCAGTATGTGCAGGTGGGGTCTTTCTGTCTCCACTGGTCTCCTTCTTTCCTGAAGCTGAAGCTGGGCATGCCAGAGGTTAGGATCTGTAAAGGCTTATGTCTTTCCTGTGTGGGCTGTTACTCTTGATGCCAGGAGCGGGCCCCAGGAAGATTGAGGGAGTGGGTGTTGGTCAGGGGAGGGGTACCAGGAGGATCCAAGGTCACCTGGGACTGGGTGCACAGGTGTGGGAAGAGCTGCGGGTAGGGTCTGTGAGGACTGATTTTTGTGTGTGTGTGGGCAGATCCTCTCAATGCCCGGAGCAGCCTCCAGAAGATTGTGGGGGTGGGTGATGGGTGGGGAAGGAGTCCCTAGGAGGACCCAAGCTCATCTGAAGCTAGGCACACCAGAGGGTGGGGTCTGGAAGGACTTATGCCTTTCCCGTGTGGGCGGGTCCTCTGGATGCCTGGAGCAGCCCTGGAAGATGAGGGAGTGGGTGATGGGCAGGGGAGGGCTCCCAGGGGGACCCTAGCTCACTTGAAGCTGGGCATGCCAGAGGGTGGGGTCTGGAAGGTGATTTTGTACATTTTTAAACACACTGTAACCCATTTAGAGGTTTCATCCCCATTGGAATTTGTCTTTATTGAATATCTGTAATATTTCCTGTCTGCATGAGCAGAACTCCAAACCTGCCATGTGGCATGCTGGGGGGGAGGAGGGGGGGTTGTGCTGGCAGCATAAGCCTACAGGCAGGGACTGGAAGAAGCAAACTTCTCTGAACTATGGCCTGTGTGAGAGAGTGCAGGAATCCACCATGTGGTTTATCACATGGCAGCTGGTGACTGGCTCTATCCTGCAGGCAACTGTAAGGAGACACATCTTTGCACTGCAGCTGGCGTTGAGACTGGGAGACTAGGAAGCTCCATTTGTCTCTGTTTCTGTGCACTTAGAACCTTTTTAAAAGCTTTCTCAGGCTTTATGTGATTTAAGTGGCCCTGGACTTTGAACACCATTTGTAGGCAGAGTTTTCCTGTCCCACTAGCAGCTCCCAAATAAACACATTGAGACTTATATTATTTACAAATGCTTGGCCAATAGCTCGGGGTTATTACTAACTAGCTCTTACAACTTAAATTAGCCCATTTTCCTTATTTATGCTCTGCCATGCACCATTTATTAGCATGGCATATTCATCTCTTGCTCCATCTGTGTTTGGCTGGCAACTTCTCTTGCTGCCCTTCTTCCTCCCAGAATTCTCTTAGTCTGGCTCTCTTGCCTCACTTTATTCTGTTCAGCTATTGTCCAGTCAGCTTCTTTATTAATTCATCACAGTGTCATATATTCACAATGTGTAGAGTAGTATTCAACAGCATTAGTAGGTTATTTTACTTTGGCTCAGTGCTATGCCATGGTAAAGGGTTAAAGATTTCAAATTCCTATTTCCTGTGAAGCCCATGACTGTATTAACAAGATGCAGTTGAAGCCTGTTTTACTGAAAACTTGCAGACGTGGCAGAGTTCTTTCAATAGTGCTTGTCTATGTTATTCATTTTAAAATCTGACAATAGCAGCAGGCATTCCAAACAATGAGATTTAACAATGGAATCCATCCTTTATCACCTCACCATCATTTTATCAGCTTACTATCTCCATGTTGTATTTGATCATTGTACCTAGGCTTACACACACAGTTGTAAAATTGCATATTTTTAATCAGTAGCTCCCCAAAACAGACTTAGGACATAGGAAATGAAATGCCCACATGAGTACAGAGATCAACAGAAAAAATAGAGATTTAAGTAATTTTGAACCAACACATGAGTGAAAGATCTGATTTTTATTAAATGCAAAGTGTTCTTTGTTGACCAATAATACCACCTTTTGGAATTTATCCCCCCAGAGAAGAGGAAACACTATGAAAGTTGATAGTCCTAAGATGTGTCCTATGATTGAATTTGAGCCAGGAATTTAAGATCAATTAGGAAAACAAGAGTATTGAATGAATCCATGGAAGGACTGGTACATGTGTGCTCACACATTAGAATGGATTAGTAGCGACTTCTATAGATGACACTAACTCACACCAATATTTGGTTTACTCACTTGCTACCAGTTAATTAACAAGCTGTATTTTAAAATTAGTTTAAAGAAAATAAAAGTACAAAGGTAAAAGTGGTGTGTATCTTTGTGATCTGGAGTCTCTACCCTATTCTTATAGTGAACAGTACAAACAACAGGGCCAAGTGGAATGTCATGGGGCAGCTTACCTGAGCAGGAGGTCACCCTCCTGCAAGGATAGTTAAAGCAGGTGTGTTTAGACTGAGTTGGATGTGTGCATAGAATGTTTCCATATTCCTGAAATCTGAATTTGACCAAATTTCATATTAGGGATGAAGAGAAAAGTTTTATATATTGTATTTTTGCCTGTGAGAAATTAAAATTTGGGGACAAGTTTATTGTTCATGAATAGATTCGTTGAGCATCATGTATAAAACACAAATGGAAATAATGTAGCTTTCCAGCAATAGAATAATGTTTACCAACATAAGGTAGCTCAATAGAATAAAATAGTATGTATGTAATCATTATACTGAGACAATATATTGAAAGAAATTTGAAAATACATTTCCAGAATCTTTAATTTTCATTTTCTTCTGACTCAGTATTGCTATTTCTGGGGGTCTATACCAATGAGACAATGTAATATGAAAGAAGTTATATGCAAAGATGTTAATTTTAATGTTTCCCATAAGAATGAAAACACATTTTAACAATAGGGATATACTTAGATAAATTTAGATATAGAATTATTTATAATGGAGAAATGTTTGTGATATGACCATAAAAAGTTAAAGATTATGATAAATCAATCTGTATTTCTTGGTCAGAACAGACAGAGAATGAGGGAAGCTGGTGGACTCTACATTGGGCAATATTGAAGCATGTAAGGCATTTGTTTCTACTTGAAGCATATTAACTCCTGCACACAATCCACTTGGCCTTCTCTCACATTCTGTACTTCTTTATGGTATTCATAGATTCTAAGCGGTGTTCTTAGAAACACAACCACAGCCTTTTTTCTTGGCATTTACTTGTTCTGCATTGGGAGTCTTGTTTCTCCTTACTAGTGTCATAGGATTAGTGTCTAAACTTAAATTCTCCTATTACCCACACTCTTGTCTCACTGGTCCACAGGATTACATGTTTACTCAACTTTTAGAATTAAAATTTGATAGCTGCTTTTCTTTGTTTTTAATCATGGGAACCTTTAGGCAGCAGAATTATCAACATTTGTCTAATAGATGAGTCTATATTATTTTATTATGTTTTATTAGTATGTATTCAACATGTTAATTTACCACAAGGTATTCTGTTTGCAAATTGCCAGGTTGCCAAGCTCACACAAGTATGGCTGCCTATATCACTTTTCTTAGAGTAGTAGATAACATTTGGAGATGTATCAATGCTAAGGTTTTGACCTTAGATAATATACTTTCTTGATGCTATATGTGGATTTATCATCTTTATTCATTTTAAGTAGTTGTCTTGGCTTATGGTATGTTACTGTTCCTGTGCAGAGGACATGTTTTTTGTGAATTCTTGTGCACAGTGTTAGCATTCATTAGCATGTGCATTCCTTATATTTCCTACTTCTTGGGGAGGGAAGTCTGTCTACTATCCCACGTATGGCATACTTAGTGACATTTAGTAAAAGTTAAATTGTGAAACAAAAACACAGTAAACTAAAAAGAACTTCTGACCCTAAATCTTTAGTAACTTGAAGTTTTGGGTTTTCCATTGACTGTCAACAGAGTGGGAATGTGTCTATACCTATACTAAGTGTCTATCTTAGTGTGTTAGAGTGAATAAAGACTACCTGTTTCAATTTGGAAAGTCATGCTCCATTGAAAAAACTATCACCTTGTCTCACATTGTATACAAAGTGGTAGAGTCAGAATGTCTTTATAGGTATCTAGAAGTGAACTTCTGCATCCAGTCTACAACTGTTACTTGGAAACATGATTTTTTTTCTGGAATATTTCTAGCTTTGATCATAAATATGTATTTGCCTTTTTATGGTTACCTTATTTTAACATTTTTGTTATTAATTAATGAAATTTTACTAATAAAATGTCGTTTTTTTCATTTTCAGGTTGGGAGGTGGCTGGAGATCACATCCAGAGTGGGGCTGGAGGCTCTGACAATGACTACCTCATCTTAACCTTGCACATCCCAGGATTTAAGTAAGGGGAACTGGTCCTTTCTACAGGAATCTTCACTTCCTCTGTAGAAATAGGGGAGTTGGATGACTCTGTGCAGTGTTTTTTTGTTTTCAAGTAAACAATAGTATGTCAGATACATGATATTTAGGAATCTATAGAACTGGTCACTAAAACCCATAAATGTTAGTCATGTATGTACCTTAGATAAAGCAGAAATATTTTAACAGCATTACAGCCAAACCTGTAATAACCATGATTTGTTAATCCTTAATGGAAAAGATTTAGCATAAGTCATTTATTTACAGGAGTGTATTTTGTTGCTTAATTGTTTATTGTTTTTCTCAATTCTGCCTGTAAGTTAGCAGGTTACACATTTATTTATGTCTTTGCTTTAGTCTTGTATGTTGAGATTTCCCAGTGTGAGTCCCTTCCTTCTTTTAGAAGCAGGAGAGTCAAGTAGATTATCCTAGCCTAGAGCAAAGGTGTGAACACACAGATTGAGAAAGGAAGGATCAGTGCTTCCTTAAGAAGCAGTAGATTAGCTAACAGAGGAGCTGGGTTCTCCGTCTAATGAGAAAACATGATTCCATTTCGTTTCATGCTGCATTCAGAGTATATTGTTGATATTGGAATTTTAATCTGTCATGTAGACCACCAACGTCTATGACTGGAGCCACGGGCTCTGAGCTAGGAAGAATAACGTTTGTCTTTGAGACCCTCTGCTCAGCTGACTGTGTTCTATACTTCATGGTGGTGAGTGACTGAAGGCAGATTTCAATGTTTATTCTTTTTTTCAAAGTTTGAATCCATTTGTGTAAGTTGGGATACGAACTGTTGTTCTTGCCTTTCTTACAAATCCCGAAAATACTGTTAAATCCTAAAGAAATGTCTAATTGTACAGCAAAGCTCACCAAGGGTTCATTCTGCATGGCATGGGTTCTCACTATTAAAGCTTGGGATCAGATGTCCCACCCTTCTGAGGGTAACACCACACCAGATTTACATGTTACAAACCATTGGAGAGATGGAACTTATAACAGAGCTTGATAGCTTTCGCTTAGTTGTCATATGATAGGTTTCTCATAGGAGTCGTGAATCATCAAATTAAATCACAAATGATATGATATCAATTATCACTTTACAATGTAAAGTTATATTATTTATAGTGATGCAATATGTTTTACTTCTTATAACTCAGAACAACCTTTAATGAACCACCATCTGTATGTTATGAAATCCTTTTTGTGAATGGCAAGTATGATAATTTGGCTATTTGGTAGTAAGATGTCTGTAATGCTTGGAAATTGTTTTTCCATACTATTATTTGTAGTGTAAACCCAAGATGTGTCTCCTGTTGTCATATTTGATTGCTTAATAATACTTTGATCCTTATGTCCATATTATATGAAGAGACAAATTTCAAAACCATGCCAACCTAACTCCAACATCCCAAATAACTAGTGGAAATAAGTTATTTATCAGGAATTCTACAGGAAAGCTCACAACTTTAGACTTACCTCTATTTACATATTAAATAAGTTATATGATCATGTTAGTCTTTGTACTTGCTTTCAAGTCATGTTAATAGTGGCACGTAGGTGGGGACAGCTTAAATCTGCATGTTATTTTCTTAAATTTAACTAAGAAAATCAGAAGTAAAATAGTTTATAAATGAACCTTGATGATCCTTACATGCTATCCCAAGAGTATTTCATTAACATGGGATGACACTCTGGTCAGCCTTCACTCAGATGAACCTGTGGCCAGTACAATCAGGGGACAACTTAGAGTTTCTACACAAATGGTTATGTTAGAATTCCTTGAGGAAGAAGGCACAAATGGGAATTCATTTTTATTCATTGAGGATTGTAGATGTTTTCCATGAGGAGTCTGAGGAACTCTCTCTTCTAAGTAATGTTTTTCAAGTGTGTGTCTTAAACAATACCATGATTTTGGATTTCTTTCCCATGTTGTTGACAGTATGCTTGTGGAAATCTTGAGAGTTGTGTGGTTAAAACAGGGAGTGTTTGGCAGAAACAGTCATGGATCCTACACAGCTTTCTCCAAATAAAAGTACATATTTGTAATGGGTGTGTATTTGCCTTAATACTGAGTTTGTGCTTTGTTTGTAAATATTTCTCTACTGTTTTAGGATATAAATAGAAAAAGTACCAATGTGGTAGAATCATGGGGAGGAACAAAAGAAAAGCAAGCGTATACACACATCATCTTCAAGAATGCAACATTTACATTTACATGGGCGTTCCAGAGAACTAATCAAGGTCAAGATGTAAGTTCCGACCACTTTATTACTCTACAACACCCCCACTGGGTGTGATCTCCATTCAGATAATATTGATCTCCACTGGAGACACTAAAAGTTGTGTATGGAAACATCATGTGCTTCACACGTGGCATCAGGAGCTAAGAAAGGGCATGTGTAGTCTACATAAGTGCATATGAGCTCTGCTAAGGCCATCACAAGCTGTGTGAGGTGAGCTGCGTTCTCTGTACAAATAATCCTGACCTGTGTACAAGGGACTAGAAATCCTTTAAAGGTACAACACAAGCCCTTTGTAAGTATACTGTGAGTGGCAAACTTGCTTAATGAGCTTCATACAAGGGCATTATGAACTCTATACAAGGAAATGTGAGGTCAAAGGATGAAAGCATGATATCTACATAGAGTGTTATAGCCTGCCTGTACATAGGATACTATGCATTCTACACATGGAATAGACAATTTTAAAGGTGTACCATGAGATACACATAGTATTATGCCCACAATACAGAACAATATGATCCCATACTTTTTATTTCTTTTAAAGCACAAAGATGATGCCTGCTTGTGGTAATGCATATAAAGCTGTCACTCAAACTGCAGAAGACACTTCTTTGAGTCAGTCATCTTATTATATTGTGAATTGGTATAAATGAACCATTTTTAATTTTGGGGGAATACAAATGTATGTGATGGATTGGAATCTCTGATTTGTTTAGAGCTATAAGCAAATATTGAAACCTAAGAAAAAATGCAATTTTGTTTTTACTTAGAACTTTATTTTTAAATCTTTTTGAGACTGAGAAGGTTAATAACTTTATTCTCCTGCATCCAAATATCTAATATTTTGTCTAAGGATCATTAAATAGTGTAGGTTTATGTTATTCTGATAATATCTCCTTTTAGAAAAAATGAATTTATATGCAGGATGGTAGACTAGAGACAACCATTGCCTTTCTTTGATTTTCATTGCTAGCATAGACCTCCTATGAACATTCCATTGCACATTTCAATACTATCTGACCTGTTATTTATTTTTGGAGTGTGTGTGTCAGTGTGTAGTGTATACATGTGTATATCATATCTTTGCCTGTGTTTGTATGTCCAAATGTAGATCAGATGTCAGAAATTATTCTCACCATTAATTGTTTTGAGATAGAGCTCTTACAGAACCTAGAGCCAGCTATTTTGGCTCGACTGACAGGACAGATCAGAGAGCCCCCAGGATATCTGTCTCTGCCCTACCATGAGGCCCTAGCACTGGGATTAGAGACCTGTGGTGCCATGCCAAGTTTTTATGTGGCTGCTAGGGAGCCAAACTCAGGTCCTGATGCTTGTACAGCAAGCTCTTTGCCACTGAGCCCTCTCCCTAGCCAGGGCTGTTATTTCTCGTGTATCTCCACAGACAAGGTGATTCTTTGCTCAGAGAATCTTCATTGCTGTGGCTGTGGGTGTAGTGCACTTTCTCTTCCCTGTCCAGATTTTCAGTGGGGAGCCAATGCCTAGATTTTTCCATGACTTCAGTTGTTCTTTAGGCATTGTTATTTAGTGTTCAGAATATAATCACAAGAGGATGAACACCAGCGGAACTCTACCTCCTACTTTTGGGCTTTTCATCTTGGTCCAGAAGGAAAACGTTAAGCAGTCAAAAACCAGACCTTAATTAATCCTATACCATGAGATGGAAAACACAGCAGGATTCAGGATCTTTTGACATTTGCTCTTTTGACGTCTTTTTGTTAGAAATTAGAATGCATTGCTCAGGGAAAGGGCTGGGGACGGAAAGGAAGGCTCAAGAAAGTGATATGAGCCCATTGGTATCACAGTGTTTGAATAAGGAAAAGAGGTCCTTGCCTTCCAGGATTTCCCACCACAGTCATACAGTCTGTAACTGTGTCTGCACCAGTTATGACATACCTGATGTCAATTGCAGCAACACATCTGGAATTCCATGGTCATGGAAAAGTGGCTCCTCATGTCAAGATTTAAGGGCTCTTTGTTTAGAAGGACAGTATAGGAGTGGTGGCAACCCACTGTCATTCCCAAGCTGTCTGTTTATTTGGGGGATGTCAACATAAATGTAACTTGGTTGTACAGTTGCACTCCAAGGCAGATGCTATTCTTTCTGCTCTCTTTCTAGAACAGACGTCTCATCAATGATGTGGTGAAGATTTATTCTATCACAGCCACTAATGCAGTTGATGGGGTGGCATCGTCATGCCGTGCCTGTGCCCTTGGTTCTGAGCAGTCAGGCTCATCCTGTGTACCCTGCCCCCCAGGCCACTACATCGACAAAGAAACCAACCAGTGCAAGGAGTGCTCAGCTGACACCTACCTGTCCATCCATCAGGTCTATGGCAAGGAGGCTTGCGTTCCCTGTGGGCCTGGAAGTAAAAGCACTCAGGTGAGTCTGCTTTGCGGTTATTTCCCAAAGCCATTCTTGGCAGGAAAACTAAAGATGTCTGCACCAGGTTTCTTCTTTGGGGCCACCAATCAGCTCCACAATAATGACACAGAGACTTGTGATTAGATTAGAATGCTCAGCCTTAGCTTAGCTCTTATTTTAATCTGTTTCTCTTTATCTATGTTTTGCCTTGGAACTTTATACGTTTTATTCTTTCTGTGTGTCTTACTTTCCTGCTGTCTCCATGTCTGGCTGGTGGCGGCTGGAGGTGTGTCCTCTCTTTCACCCTCATTCTCTTTTTTCTTCTTTCCTTCTCTTCTTCCTGAGCCTACATTCTCCTCCTATTTATTCTCTCTGCCTGCCAGACCCACCCATACTTTCTCTGACTAGCTATTGGCTATTGAGCTTTTTATTAGACCAATCAGGTGCCTTAGGCAGGCAAGGTGAAACAAATGCAGCACATCTTTACATTACTAAACACACATCCTTACATTGTTAAACAAATGCAGCACAAACAAATGTAACACACGTTTACACGGTTAAAGTAATATTCCACACATTTGCCTGGCTAAAGTAATATTCCACAACAGACTTTCTGTCTGTGGTTCTCTGAGGGGTCAGGTGGGGAGTATGTGGAATTGCTGTTGACTCTGAAAAATGCCTTTTAATTCTCCTTTCTGTTTTGTCTTCTCTGAAATTAGGTGAGCACTGAATATACACCATGCAAATGCTAGTTACCAATGACAAAACATGAGAGAAAGTGTTCAAAGAAGAATGTTTTCAAAATTAAAAATTGATATCTTGTGCACTTCCAAGATAGAAGGGTAACTGTTCTCATAAGCCAGGTATAGAAAGCTCTACAGGAAGCAGCACACATGACAGACAGCATTATAAGTGTGAAGAAAAACAGCAGTGTAGATCAGGGGACCAGTTTTACTGCTTGTGAAAGCTGGACTAATGGGAAATTGTTACTATTTCTTAAAAATATTTTCCTGTATGAAGTTAATCCATGAAAATATAGAATTAAAAACAAATCTTGACTCTTCTGAACTTTTTAAATTATTAGGGATCCTCTACATAAGTATGACAAAATATAACATTGCTGAAAGATATTTATACCTAAAACATTTGGGTAACATTTTTTCAGAGCAGTTAATACTTTCTTTTCTGAAGTATTGTTTGTTTTTTGTCTTTAAGGATCATTCCACTTGCTACAGTGACTGCTTTTTCTATTATGAAAAGGAAAACCGCAGTTTGCACTATGATTTCCGCAACCTCAGTAGTGTGGGTTCACTTATGAATGGCCCCAGCTTCACCTCCAAGGGAACAAAATACTTCCATTTCTTCAATATCAGTTTATGTGGACATGAGGTGAGTTCCGGGTGGGATGGATCTGTACTCCAGTTTTAAGACATGTTCTGGGTTAAATGGCTGACAACATCTCCATGGTAATCAACAACTAATTGCAGGTATGGAAATTTCTTTGAAATCCTATTGACAACTGGTCTCACCTGGTTCTTAGATTGTAAAGGAGCCTTATTCAACCAGCTAAACTCCAGGCCTTGTAGGCATGACTTCAATGCATCGAGTCTCTCCCTCTCCTCTCTCTTCCTGAAAGTGGGAAGGGATAAAAGTGGTTTAGGATGTTGATCTCATTTTTTAAACATAGGTAGGGTATTATGGTTTGAGAAAACTTATTGTTTTAGGATTCCCCGGGGATAGAACACACACACACACACACACACACACACACACACACACACACACACACACACACACACGTGAGGAGTATCAGTGCATTTTTCATAGGGGATGAAAAATCCTATGCCAGCCTGTCTAGAAATGGAATGCTACTAGTGTGGCTGAACCCGAGTCCAAAAGCTTCAGAATAAGAGGCAGCTGAAAACTGAGAACGTTTGCTATAAGTCCTGGGGTCCCAAGGTCAGAGAAGCTGAAGTCCTAATGTCTGTGGCAGGAGGAGAGTGTGGCAGGCTCAGGAAGAAGGAATTCTTGCCTCTGCCTTTTGCTCTATGAAGGTCCAGCCAGTTGAATGACACCTGCTCACATTCACGGTAGATCTTCCCTTCCCTCAGGCACCCAGTTCTCATGCCGGTCTCCCAAGAAACACCCTTGCAACACTCCCCCAATTTGGGTTTTTCCATTTCTCAGTATCCCTTAATCTGACTCTGTTGGCTCATAACTTGAATTCTGGTTATGTTTTTAATAAGGGGGAAAACTACCAGTAGTATTTCTGTCCGAATTCAAAATGAGGCATACAGGGTCAAATGTTAATTGATAAAGTAGTCTCTTCTGATGAATATGGGATTTATTTGGTGGGACGGAAGAAGCAGACCTTTGTTACTGTTAAGGGGATTTAATCTGTGTATTCCATATTTTCACTGATGTGTGAAACTGTAGTTTGTTGGGGGTGGGGGAGAATGCACAGCATATATACCATTAACAGAGGCAATATGTAATAAAACATTTCTCCTATATCTTTTTTTCATATTGATTGCTATATATACAGTCATAATCATTATGGATTCTGTGAGAAAGTTGTTCAAATGAAATGAAAAAAGATCTGGCTACCATAGAAGTCTTTAAATAAAATATTCACATATTTTATTTATAAATTTTGTTTTCTGAGTGTGATTGCTATCTTTTTGTCAACTTGATAAAAGCTTGAGTCATTTGGGAAGAGGGACTCTCAATTGAGAAAAATGCCTCTATAAGGCTGGCCAATAGTCACGTCTGTCAAGTGGTTGGTTTAGGAGGGCTCGGCCCAGAGTGGATCATGATGGTTGTATAAGGAAGCAGGCTGAGCAAGCCATGGGAGCAAGCCAGTAAGCAGCACCCCTCCATGGCCTCTACTTTGGCTTCTATTTCTAGGTAACTGATCTACTTCAGTTCCTGCCCTAACTTCATTGGATGACAGACAAGTTTTAGGATGAAATAAATTTCTCCCCAATTTGCTTTTGGGTATGGTGTCTTACCACAGCAATAGGACCCTAACTAAGACAATGCATGTGTCATAACCTGACTGTATATGTAGTAATTCAGTACTCACTAGCTTGATTGGGTACCCATTCACTTAGTAAATGAATGCATACCAAATACCTTCATATGAAGCAGTGAATGAGACCAATTCCATTATGCATTGTATTTCTCAATCCCATTTTGTAATACTATGTTTTCCTTCTCTCCTTTTAAATGCCTTCTTTCTCACTTTGTTTTCTTTTGTGTGAGTTTGCTATGTAGCACAGGCTGGCCTAGCACTCATTTTATAGTCCAGGCTAGCCTCAAACTCATGGGAATGCTGCAGGTATGAGCCAGGCCCAACTTTTTTATTGTTGTTGTTGTTCTCCTTTGTTTTCTTTTAGGCTCTGCCATTTCCTCTTTTTTTTTCCTGAGTACTTTCTCTCAGCTATTTTCTACTATTTTCTTGGTTACAACAATTTAGTAAAAATATTTCTCCTGTTTAGTTGTGAGAAAGCCTTGGGGAGGGAGAGATTTTGTATGTTAAAATTACCAGTTGCATTAAGAAAGAGAACTATTTATGTTTATGTGTATATACTTTCAGGTCAATAAAATAGCTTTCCAATTTTCTTTTTAGATTTCTTGGTAGAAATTGTAGAGCAAACTATAGTTTTTGTTGTTTGTTTTTTGTTTTTTGCAGTGGCCTGAAGTATATTTAAACATTATATAAACACAGCCAGCTTCTGATTGAAAGTTAAACTCTTGTATTCTTTCAAATTATTTTGTAAACAGATACACCACTGTGTCCAAGAGTAGGTTACTAAGACACCTGCAGTAACCAAAAGTCTGTAATTGATATACCCTAGGATGCTGTAGCAATATGGCTTTTAGGCCTTCTCCAACCACACCCAGACGCAGGAGGGAGAAGGGAGAGTGAGTTTCCTCCTTCATCCAAATCTTCATCAGTAGTTTGCTGTATACCCCAAATGCCTTGTTAAACTGTGAAGTGAACATTTCTTAGATGGCATTCATTTCCTGGAGTTATATGGCTTTCATCCAACACAAACGGTGCTTGTAGTGGGAGGACCAACGGGTCTGGAATAATCTCATTAACTCCCACCCTCGACTGAACATTGGAAGTACCTAGAGACTGATGCCTGGGCACCACCTACAGCAGTTAATGAGGATCTCTGTGCTGAGAAAGTAGCTCCTCTGATGAGACCCACAAGCTAATTGAGATTCAGGTTAAAGACAATCTGTGAACCTTCCACTTGTGGCTTTGCTTTCCCAGGGGAGAAAGATGGCTCTCTGTACCAACAACATCTCAGACTTTACAGTAAAAGAAGTGGTGGCAGGGTCAGATGACTACACTAATTTGGTTGGAGCATTTGTATGCCAGTCAACTATTATCCCTTCTGAAAGCAAGGGCTTCCGGGCAGCCTTGTCGTCCCAGTCTATTATCCTGGCAGACACATTTTTAGGTAAGTCTCTTTTGGTTAATACAAGCACACATATGTTTATTATTATTTTATGGTTACAATAAATTGTCATCATACTGGTGTTAACCGCACAAGATTAAAGCCTTCAGACTAATAAACTGTCATTTGGAAAAATGGTTTTAAAAAAGAGGTCTATTCGTCAATCTCAGAGTACAGAAAGACTCTGCATTTCTGTATGAATTCCTATATGTCATAATGTTTTATGAGATTATGTGCCTTTACTCAGATTCTTTAGTTTAAGTGGAAAATAATTTTAAATATAAAAACAGAGCCAGGAAGACAAATCAAGTGATTGTCACACAAGGGTGAAAAACTTGTTTTTTTGTGTGTATGCTTTTTTTTGTCCCATTGCCATGAATCAATTCTTTTTTTAACTTAAATTAGAAACAAGCTTGCTTCACATGTCAATCCCAGCCCCCTCTTCCTCCCCTCCTCTCCACCCCTCTAATTTCCCAAACTCTCCACCCAATCCTCACTCTGCTCCCAGGGAGGGTAAGGCCCTCCATTGGGGATCTCCAAAGTCTGTCATATCATCCAGGGCAGGGTCTAGACTCTCCCTCATGTGTCCAGGCTGAGACAGCATCCCTTCATGTGGAATGGGCTCTCAAAGTCCATTCATATGCCAGGGATAAATACTGATCTAGTACCTGAAGCCCTGTAGATTGCTGAGGCTACCTCACTGACACCCAAATTTAGGGGGTCTGGATCAGTCCCATGCTAGTCTCTCAGCTATCAGTCTGGGGCCCATGAGTCCCCTTGTTCAGGTCAGCTGTTTCTGTGGGTTTCACCGACCTGGTCTTGACCCCATTGCTCATCAATCCTCCCTCTCTGCAACTGGGTTCCAGGAGTTCAGTTCAGTGTTTAGCTGTGGGTGTCTGGCTCTGCTTCCATCAGCCCCTGGATGAAGGCTCTGGGATGGCATAAAAGGTAGTCATCAATCTCATTATCAGGGAGGGCATTTAAAGTAGCCTCTCCACTATTGCTTAGATTTTCAGTTGATGTCATCCTTGTAGATCTCTGACTATCTCACTAGTGTCAGATCTCTCCTCAAACCTATAATGACTCCCTGTATTATGGTACCTCTCATCCTGCTCTTTCCTGTATTCTTCTCCCAAGTCAACCTTCCTGTTCTCCATGTCCTCCTCTCCCCTCTTCTTTTCCCATTGTCTTTCTCCCAGCTTCTTCTCCCTTACCTCCATGCTCCCAATCTGCTCAGGATATCCTGTCTCATTCCCCTTCTCTGGGGTACCATGCATATCTCTCTTAGGGTCCTCCCTCTTTCCCAGACTCTCTGGTGGTGGGATTATAGGCTGGCAATCCCTGCTCCCTGTACATCTGAGTAAGTACATACTATGTTTGTTTTTTTGTGCCTGGGTTACCTCACTCAGGACGGTTTCTTCTAGTGCCATCCATTTGCCTGAAAATTTCAAGGTTCCATTGTTTTTTTTCCTCTGGGTAGTACTCCATTGTGTAAATGTACCACATTTTTTCTATCTGCACTTCAGTTGAGGGGCATCTAGGTTGCTTCCAGGTTCTGGCTACTACAAATAATGCTGCTATAAACATAGTGGAAAGGATGTCCTTGTTGTATGAATGGGCATCTTTTGGGTATATGCCTAAGAGTGGAATTGTTGGATCTTCTGGTAGACTGGATCCCATTTTCCTGAGGAATCTCTATATTGATTTCCAAAGTGGCTGTATGAGTTGGCATTCCCACCAGCAATGGAGGAGTATTCTCCTTTATCCACATCCTCTCCAGCATAAACTGCCATTCTGACAGGAGTGAGATGGTATCTCAGAGTTTTGATATGCATTTTCCTAATGTCTAAGGATGTTGAGCATTTTCTCAAGTGCCTCTCAGCCATATTAGACTCCTCTATTGAGAATTCTCTATTTAGTTCAGTCCCCCACTTTTTAATCAGAGCCTTTGGTGTTTTGGAGACTTGCTTCTTGAGCTCTTTGTGAATTTTGGGATCAGTTCTTTGTCAGATATGGGGTTAGTGATTATCTTTTCCAAATCTGTGTGGTGCCTTTTGTCTTGCTGGCTGTGGTGTGTCCTTTGCCTTACAGAAGCTACTCAGTTTCAGGAGGTCCCATTTGTTAATTGTGGATCTCAGTCTGTGCTACTGGAGTTATGTTCAGGTAGCTGTCTCCTGTACCAATTCGTTTAAGAGTATCTCCCACTTTCTATTCTAAGAGGTTCAGTGTGGCTGGATTTATGTTGAGGTCTTTGATCCATTTGGACTTAAGTTTTGTGCATGGCAATAGACATGGATCTATCCGCATTCTTCTACATTCCAGCATCCAGTTATGCCAGCACCATTTCTTGAAGATGCTTTCTTTTTTTTCCATTGTATAATTTTAGCTTCTTTCTCAAAGATCAAGTGTTCATGGGTGTGTGGGTTAATATCTGGGGTTTCAATTTGATTCCTTTGGTCTACCTGTCTATTTTTGTGCCAATACTAAGCTGTTTTCAGGACTATAGCTCTGTAATAGAGCTTGAAGTCAGGGATGGTGATGCCTCCAGACATTCCTTTATTGTACAGGGTTGTTTTGGCTATCCAGGGTCTTTTGTTTTTCCATATAAAGTTGTTTATTTTTCTTTCAAGGTCTGTGAAGAATTATGCTGGTATTTTGATGGGGATTGCATTGAATCTGTAGATTGCTTTTGACAAGATTGACATTTTTATTATGCTGATCCTACCTAACCAAGAGCATGGGAAATCTTTCCATTTTCTGGTATCTTCCTTATTTTGTTTTTCTTTAAAGACTCAAAGTTCTTGCTATACAGGTCTTTTACTTGTTTGGTTAGCGTTATCCCAAGATATTTATGTTGTTTGTGCCTATTGTGAAGGATGATGTTTCTCTGATTTCTTTATCATCCCATTTATCGTCTGTATATAATAGGGCTACTAATTTTTTTGAGTTAATCTTGTATACTGCCACTTTGCTGAAGGTGTTTATAAGCTGTAGAAGTTCCCATGTAGATTTTTTGGGTCACTTATGTAAACTATCTTATCATCTACAAATAGTGAAAGTTTGACATCTTCCTTTCCAATTTGTATCTCTTTGATCTCCTTTTATTGTCTTATTGCTCTAGCTAGAACTTCAAGTACAGTATTGAAGAGATATGGAGAGAGTGGACAGTCTTGTCTTGTTCCTGATCTTAGAGGAAGTGCATTGAGTTTCTCTCCATTTAGTTTGATGTTGGCTGTTGTTTTACTGTGTATTGCTTTTATTATGTTCAGGTATGTTCATGTTATGCCTGATCTCTCTAGGACCTTTATCATGAAGGGGTGTTGGATTTTGTCAAAGGCTTTTTCATCATCAAGTGAGATGGTCATGTGGTTTTTCTTTTACAGTTTGTTTACATGGTGGATTACATTGATAGATTTTTGTACGCTGAACCATCCTTGTGTCCCTGGGATAAAGCCTACTTGATCATGTTGGATGATTTTTCTGATGTGTTCTTGGATTCTGTTTGTCAGCATCTTATTGAGTATTTTTGCATCAATGTTCATGAGGGATATTGGTCTGTAGTTCTCTATTAGTTGTGTCTTTGTGTGGCTTAGGTACCAAGATAATTGTAGCCTCAAAAAGTTTGGCAATAAACCTTCTGCTTCTATTGTGTGCAACACTTTGAGGAGTTCTGGAATTATCTGTTCTTTGAATTTCTGGTAGAATTCTGCACTGATGCCATCTGGGCCTGGGCTTTGTTGTTGTTGTTGTTGTTGTTGTTGTTGGGAGACTTTTGATTATTGATTTAATATTGGTAAGTGATACCTATCCAGAAAATTGTCCATTTCCTTTAAATTTGTAAAATTTTTTGGAGTACATGTTTTCAAAGTATGACCTGATGATTCTCTGGATTTCCTCAATGTCCATTGTTATGTTCCCCTTTTCATTTCTGATTGTGTTAATTTTCATGTTCTCTCCCTGCCTTTTGGTTAGTTTGGATAAAGGTTAGACTATCTCATTGGTTTTCTTGAAGAACAAACTCTTTGCTATATTGATTCCTTGTATTATTTTCTTTGTTTTGACTTTACTGATTTCAGCCCTCAATTTGATTATTTCCTGGCATCTACTACTCTGGGGTGAGTTTGCTTCTTTTTGTTCTAGAGCTTTAAGTTGTGCTGTTAATTCTCTAGTGTTACTATTCTCCAGTTTCTTTATATGAACACTTAGTGCTATGAACTTTTCTGTTAGTACTGCTTTAAAAGTGTCCCATAAGTTTGGGTATGTTGTGTCTTCATTCTCATTGAATTCAAGGAAGTGTTTAATTTCTTTATTTCTTCCTTGACCCAGGAATGATGCATTTGTTCCTTTTTCAATTTCCATGAGTTTGTAGGGTTTCTGCAATTAGTGTGGCTGTTGAATTCTAACTTTAAAGAATGGTGGTCTGATAAGAACCAGGAGTTATTCCAATTTTTTGTACTTGTTGAGGTTTGCTATGTTGCCATGTATGTGGTCAATTTTAGAGAAGGTCCTATGTGAAACTGAGAAGAAGGTATATTGTTTGTGTTTGGATGGAATGTTGTATAGATGTTTGTTAAACCCAATTGGGCTATAAGTTCTGCTAGTTCCTTTGTTTCTTTGTTAAGTTTCTGTTTGGTGGTCCTGGATAGTGGTTAGAGTGATGTGTTAAAATCTCCTACTAAAACTATGTGAGGTCTTATGTGTGATCTGAGTTTTAGTAATGTTTCTGTTACGAATGTGGGTGCCTCTGTACTTGGGGCATAGATGTTCAGAATTGAGACTTCTTCCTGATGGATTTTTCCTGTGCTGAGTATGAAATGACCTCCTTCACCAGCTTCTTTCTTGGGTCCATTTTAATGGAAAATCTTATTCTAACCATTTACTCTGAGGTAATGCCTGTCTTTGAAGTTGAGGTGTGTTTCTTGCATGCAGGAGAAGGTTGGATCCTGTCTTTGTATCCATTATGTTAGCCTGTGTTTTTTTTATAGACAAACTAAGACCATTAATATTGAGGGAACTTAAGGACCACTGAGTGTTAATTCTTGCTTTTTTAAAATTTGTTGTTGTTGTTGTTATTGTTTGTGGATTTACCCTGCTTTTTCTTTTGGCTTTTGGTAAAGTGGTATTATGTATTGCCTATGTTTTTGTTAGTGTAGTTAACTTCCTTAGGTTGGAGTTTTCCTTCAAGTACTTTCTGTAGGGCTAGATTAGTGGATATATATTGTTTAAATCTGGTTTTGTCGTGGAATACCTTGTTTTCTCCATCTATAGTGATTGAAAGCTTTGCTTGGTTTAGAAGTCTGGGCTGCCATCCATGGTCTCTTATTGTTTGTAGAATATCTATCTAGGACTTTCTGGCTTTCAGAGTTTCCATGGAGAAGTCAGGTGTGATTCTGATAGATTTGCCTTTATATGTTGCTTGGCCTTTTTCCTTTGCTGCTTTCTTTATTCTGTATTTTGGTGATTTAATTATTATGTGACAAGGGGACTTTTGTTTTGGTCCACTCTATTTGGTGTTCTGTAGACTTCTTGTAGTTTCATTGGCATGTCTGTCTTTAGGTTGGGGAAGTTTTCTTCTATGATTTTGCTGAATATGCTTTCTGCACCTTTGAAGTGGGTTTCTTCACCTTCTTCTATACCTATTATTCTTAGGTTTGGTCTTTTCATGGTGTCCCATATTTCCTGGATATTTTGTGTTAGGAATTTGTTAGACTAAAGATCTTCTTTGGTCAATGAATGTATTGCTTCTAGTATATCTTCAATGCCTAAGATTCTCTCTTCCATATCTTGTATTCTCTTGTTTATGCTTGCATCTGTAGTTCCTGATCATTTACCCACCATTTCTAATTCCAGCATTCCTTTAGACTGTGTTTTTTAATTGTCTCTATTTCATGTTTCAAACCTTTCACTGTTTTAATTGTTTCTTGCAAGTTTTGGTTTGTTTTTTATTCCATTTCTTTAAAGGATTTTCTCATTTCTTCTTTTAGGGTCCCTGTCATCTTCATGAAGTTGTTTTTAAGGTCATTCTCTTCTTCTTCATCTGTGTTGAGATGTTCAGTCTTGCTGGTATAGAGTCCCTATACTCTGGTGGTGCCATATTGATTTTTCTGTTGTTGAATGTATTCTTATATTGTTGTCCTCTCATCATTTCTTCCAGTGTGTACAGGTGAGGTCTCTTCCTCTCCTGGTGGGTACCAGTCCAAGGTTCTCTTTTGGTGGGTACAAGCAGGTCTAAAACTGTAATGGGTCTGAGGCATTCCCTCTCCCTGTGGGTCAGAGCTGGATTATCATAGTGCAATCAGCAGTCTCAAGGTTGTTTGGTTCCCTGGGAGAGAGTCCACCTGCCTGTAGTCCCCAGGCCTGGAGATCCCAGTGTACTGAGCTTCAAGCTTCAGCACCAAGGTCAGCTACCAGGCTCCACCTCATTGCCAGTTTAATTCTATGTGAGCGGGAAAACCTGTCTGTGTGATTAACCAAATTCGGTCTTTGTTCCTGGAAAGTAGTTGGTCAAAGTTTTCTGTGTTATTTTCTTTCTTTCTTTCTTTCTTTCTTTCTTTCTTTCTTTCTTTCTTTCTTTCTTCCTTCCTTCCTTCCTTCCTTCCTTCCTGTCTTTCTTTCTTTCTTTTCTTTTGTTGATGGATGGGGGGTTATGGTTTCACTATCCTGCCCAGACAAACTGTAGGCATGAAAGCACCAGGCTTTGTAAAATAAGCATGGGAGATCACAATATTGGATATATTTTGAAACATTAGGACTAGAAGAGACCTTCAAAACTATCTAAATCACTGTATATTTTGTATGAAATCTAGGAAAACAACACCATGCCCAGGGTGGTAAAATACACTAGATTACCTGACTGAGGCTTAGGATTTATTTATTTTTTTCTACTTGTACTCACCAGGAGTGCCTTAATTTAATACTTCTGGCATGGCTGTCAAAGTAAAACCATTTTGTACTTAGAGATACAGACACTAAATAAACTTAGATGTCCCTGTTGCTTCATAGCTTGTTTGTCAATGTTGTCTAGGAGTCACAGTTGAAGCTGCCTTGCAAAATGTTAATATCAAGGAAGATATGTTCCCAGTGTCACCAAGTCAAATACCAGATGTGCATTTCTTTTATAAGTAAGTGAAGATATTTCTTTCTGTGACAATTTTTTTGAATAAAGATCTCATACATCTGAATCTCTAGATTTTGGCGCCTACTCTGGGTTATAATTTCCTAGTGACAAGAAAACATAGTGTTGCTTCGGGGTGCTTAGCATGGCAGTTTGTGCTTAATAGATAATAATAAATGTGGGGATTAAATGTATTGACAAAAAAGTGAGAAATGTGGAATATTTTGAGAGTCTTGTATAATTCCCTGCTTGCATACTTGTGCGCGTGCGCGCGCACACACACACACACACACACACACACACACACACACACACACACACACTTTGAGCAATCAGAGGGCTTTGGCTCATGGCCTAAGTAGTAAGTAGTAATTACCTCTTTTTTTTCACATCAAAACACCAGCCTGATGTTTTGACATGACTGACCCCTGTTTTCCTCAAAAGGCTTTTGTTTTTAATTGTGATTGGAATTATAGTAATTTTACTAAATGCCTTCATGACAGGCCATCATTTTACCTGGGAAAATTGTCCACTTCACATAGTTAGTAAAAGCCAATACACTGAATTTGTGTTAAGTTACACATTAATAACCTTTAATACACTTTTGCCTTTTTGTTTGTTCATGGAGCAGGAGAGCCATTCTGTCCATGACACTTTTGTACTGATTATCTGTGTCGTATTTGATCTTTAATGTAGCACCTGCTTTATAACAGGTCTTCTGCAGCCACCACATCTTGTATTAATGGACGGTCGACTGCTGTGAAGATGCGGTGTAATCCCATGAGATCTGGTGCAGGCGTGATTTCAGTCCCCAGGTATTCACCTCTACTATGTGGTCATTTAATGTTGAATTCATTTTTTAGAGGCAGAGCTGTCTGGAATGTCACTATTAATACATATTCCTATGGAAATAAGACAGAAGCAGAACAAAAGAACCAGTGCATTTGTTGTAGGGATGTCAGGGTTTAAATGAACAGATTCTTGTCACTGTCTCTACCTTCTGGTCTCTTTAATGACATCCGCTTGTCCCTTGAGTGTCTGACTCTCTTCAACATGATTTAGGCAGTCAACAGCTAATTACACTGTTTATATGCTTGCTCTTCTTCCCACTGTTTATAATTTTCCTTTAATTGGTTAGGAACAGTCCTGGTTCTTAGAACGAGAGCAACAATTACCTGCCTGGGCGTTAAAGTTCCTGAACTCAGCAATCTAACCTCTCTGTGAGTTGTGATTCCTTTTTCTGCCAGCCAATGGGGTCTTGAAGACACTTTCAGATCCATTCTGAAGCTCAGTTTTCTGAATAACTGTAGCAGAATCATCAAGGTAAATCTGACCTGTAGGACACAATGCAGAATATTCAACTGATTGACATTGAGGGGCCAGTTCTCTTGGTCTGTATTTGATAGATCCTGTTAAGCTTTGGTGGGACTACTAGCACCTAATTCCTAGGCACCTAAACTCCTAATCTGAACACAGCCTATTTTTACAAGTAACATTTAGGTGTCTAAGTATTTTCAATGTATTGTTCAGCATGTTTATTATTGTTAATAATTAAATGACCTTTCTATTAGTTTGTTTAGCAATTCTCTGTTCAACTCAAAACCATATATTTTAAAAAGAAAATGATATTTTGTAACCCTCCTATTTATCTCACATGGAGAATATTGTTATATACCCTAAACTACTAGCAATCATAACATCAGTAACAGTAATTCTGGCTTCTTTGGGGGATATACAGGAATACTAGCCTTCACTTCTCATCAGCTGCCTCTCTTAGTTTACATGGCTCTACCAATTAGTTTTTTTCCACCTATTTAAGGCAAGAGAAGACTGTGGTTAGAAAACAGAGGAACAGACAATAGATAAAGGGACACAGAGAGACGGATGCTCTCGGACTTCAGGGCATCACACTGTCACCTCCTAGCTGGAGTCACCACAGCAAAGTAGAGAAAGATGCATGTAGAGATTCCAGAGACAGAAGCATGTCTCTTCACTCGGCTGTTTTGCTGGGTAGTTCTAAGTTCTGGTGCTCACTGAATTGACTATAGTCCTCCTGAGTCCTTTTGCAGGTTTTATGACTAAGCTCTGTGGGTCTGGCCTCCAGAGTCGATCTGGGCAGTTTTTACGTCTCCTCCAGGTCTGAGTCAGGCAGAGGATGTCCTAAAGACCAGGCGTGGCCTGTGGAAAATAAATCTTTCTCTGGCTTTGCCAGGATACATTTTGATGTCTTTCCATAAATAAATCATAGTCTCACGGGGTTAAAGGATGGCATCTCAGGAGGACGTAAAGTTTCTCTTTACCTCAGGCAAGCTTTACCTTGTAGGGAACTTTTTTGTGTTCCCCAGGAATTCTCAGAATCGCCTGCAGCAGAAACCTTAGAATATCTATTGTTAAACCTGATTTCAGAGTCTCTGCGTTGAGCACTAGAGTAGTTCTAAAAATAGAAAGCAACTGCAAAGCAGATTAAAATTGGAGGACTGCTTCTGTTGCTGTCCCTGGCATAGGCTTTGCTGGCTCTGCATTCCAGAGCCAGGTTCTCTATTGTTATTGTTTGCATCTTGGTCTTCTGAAAAGCTTATTTAAAACATAATACTCATGGCAGAGACCTTCACACAGATCTTGATAAAATTTCATTTGTAGTTGTGCTGCACACTAAGGCAGGCAGCCAGCAGCTCTAGGGAGCTGTGGAGTCCCAGTCAGGCATGTGCTGACCTTCAGTTTTCTCTTGAATGAATTTCCCATCAGGGCACAAGAGGGAGCCCAAGGACCAGAAGAGGAAAATAGCAGCTTGTCCTCAAATTAGGTTTATTTTATTTAAGAACGAGGCTAAATAAAGATTTTAACTAACAGGTTTCTCAGACCACTTTTGAGGAAGACTTATTTTGTATCTCTTTGGAAGCTTTAAAATCTCCAAGGAAAAGAAGCTAACCAGGCACCTGGTCTTGAGATGCTCTTGCTGACCACGAAATCTCAGAGTTCTTGGCCAACCTAGCAAAAGTGACTTCAGTGTTAGTAATGTCACCTGGGTCTTAGAGTCTTGGTGGTCGGGAAAACTTCCTAAAGGCCTCCAGCTCCTATGGAGTGGAAAGTCTGGACAGGGAGAAGCAGGAGGTGTGTGGTCTGCTAAGTGTGGACTTGAGAGGGAACATGTCACCTGGACTTTGGTTTAGATTAGAAACTTCCATCTGTCTGCTTGATCTGGCAAATGTATGTATTGAGGTTCCCAATGAGAGATGGAAATGACAGTGTAGTGTAGTATGGGGCAGATAGACTCTGACAGCCTCAGGTGACTTCTGAGACCTTTTTTTCTAAGAAGGCACAGACGAAACTACTTCTACAAAGGATTGCTGCTGCCAATAGCTTTAAATAAGTGTACGTAGATGAGCCCACCCACTGGCTTTTTAAACCTCAAGTCAAACCTTTGGTTAGGGATAATGTATACGTAAGCACTGCAGCTGAGAACTGCCTATCAAAGGCCAGAGAAAGTTGAGTTAGTAAAAGGATTACACAGGCATATGTTCTTAGAAAGCAGATCTTGATAGCAGTCTTTCATGATCTGGAAGGTCCTGGAGTTAAACCCATTCACTTCCCCAAGCAAGAAGCATCGAGCCTGAGTTTGTGCAGCTCCTGAGCATCACACTTGGGATGGAACAACCTCCTAATGGCTTTTGTTCTTTCACGACAAAATGCCTTTTCAAAATGCCACCCTCCTTTAATCGCTCGTGAGTGATCTGTCAGGAAGCACAGCTAATAAAGAGGCAAAAGCAGATTCATCCCAGGGCACAGCAGCAGACCTACAGGGCGCGAGTGCGTTCTTTTAACTGAATTCCCTTCCTTAAACATTCATCATTAATGTTCGTGTGAAAGAATCTCCATCCCTTTCCTTCCTTCCTTCCTTCCTTCTTTCCTTCCTTCCTTCCTTCCTTCCTTCCTTCCTTCCTTCCTTCCTTCCTTCCTTCCTTCCTTCCTTCCTTCCTTCCTTCCTTCCTTCTGGCTTATGAACATACTCAACTGCTTTAGGTGTTTATCTGTCAGTCTAAGATTGTTTTGGGAAATCCTCTTATGAATCCAAATTCATTTCATTATCAGGATGAAGACACTGCGTTTAATATCAGTGTATCCTTAAAAAAGTCAAGTCTATCAAGGAGAGGTTCTGAATCACTGAAGTGTTTTGACACAATGACAGCCTTATAAATTACGTCAGTGTCTAGATTTTGTTTTCTGCAGGTTCTGTAGTTCGGTCAGCTCTCCAGAATTTGACTCATACTGTTAATAGTCTTAAATGTTGGTGGTACTTCAAGCTTGCTCTCTTATTTTGTGTATTATAATTGTCCAGTGAAGACAGAGTGACACAGCTTCAACTTTGAAAAATTATAAAAAATGAGGCAGGGGAAAGAGGAAAATTGTCATTTTCAAGTTCAGTTTGAATTATAGCTTGAGTTACCACTGGAAGTTTTTGCAACTTTAATTTTCATAATGTTTTGTTGACATTATGGGCTTGTTAAAAATAAGATCAGCTCTTAGATGTGTAGACCTTTTTTGTATTCATATTTTAGGATGTCTTGGAATGTAGTTAATCAAGAATATAAAAATTTTGCTGGTATCTAGAAAATGCAGTTTTGAGTTATACATTGATATAAGCATTTGAGTGTAATGGAGACTTTTGTGGCTCTTGGTGAGCTTGACTCAGGGAACTAGAGTGCCACACGATCAACAGTCACCAGTGTTACTCTGATCCTGTAGTTTCTAAGTTCCTTGTCTCACACCCAAGAAGAATATTGAAGCGGGGGACAAGGAGTGAGGAGAATGAAAGTGGATTATTAAAGGGAAGGTGTGAACAGGCCAGAAGTGTATCCCAGCAATCTTTACTGGGATTGGCTAGAGGTATCCAAATTCCTTACACATGCTGCCTTGGCTCCACTGTGCAACTTGAAAGTTACTCATCCCTTTATGGGGAGGAGTCATTTGAGCTGTGTAAGTAGCTCAAGGTCCACCACAGACTCAGTCTTTGCCAAGCATTTGTGGGTCATTAAAATATCATTTATAGTTAATGGGGGAGGAGGAGGGAAGATGCAGGAGTAGAGACAAGCAGTGCACCCTCATACCTACCAATCTCAAATAAAACATCTATCCCATGACTTGAAAAAGAGGTGAGAAGCCTGGAAAGGATAAGATCATAGCAAATGCTGGGCTCGGGAAACACCAGATAAATTACAGAAATGTTGACTGTTATATTTGTAAAGGAGACAACAGACTCTCCTTGGAGTTCTAGGAAACTGAGTAAAAAAAAATCGATAATCCCTCTGCCCTCACCTCCCAACTCTGGGTCCATAAACGAAAGGAAAATCTCACAAAGAACAAAAATAAATATGGGTAACAGGGACCCATGCTGCATGAAGCCAGCAACGGTTAACCACAAGTGGCACTGACTGCAGCGCTGCCTGTTATGCTGGATCCAAAGAGAAATTGAATCTAACTGCTCTGCTAGGAAGAGAAGAAAACTCTACAGCTTCACATTGCAAAACCACACTGCCTCTCCACACTAAGTACAGGTTTACCAAAGAACCATAGAATCACACTCATAGTCCAGGGGAACCATCCTGAACTGGAACTCTGGAACATATACACTCAAATTGATTGGCAGAGTGGCAGCCCAAGCCTTTGGTTAAGACAAGAATATGCAGCTGTCAAGTCAAATGTGTTGGCCATATCAGAGTCTTAGGCATTGAGCTCTATCTTGGGAAAGTGAGACCATACAAAACATAGAGACAGGAGATAGACATATTGGGTGGGGATTACTCAGAAGTAAAGTCTGTTTGTGATGAAATGAGGGAATTCAGTTACACAATTTTAACTCTGCAGGAAAGGTAGAAACAGTCAGATATCCAGGGCTTGCCAGTCAGAATGTCCAGCCTACATGGAAAGCTACAAACCACTGGTCTGCCACATCTCAAAGTAAGCTGGACGGTACCTGGGGAACAACAGTTGAGGTTGTCCTCTGACATTTGTATGCATGCACACAGGTGTGCACCCACATGAACCCACACAATACATTATTAATAGGTTGAAAAAACAGTTCACAAAAGATGAAGCACAAATAGCCAATACATATATAAAATACTATTAAATATCCTTTGACATGTGAGCATTGCAGGTTAAAACTACATTGAAATTATATCTTACCTTTCTTAGAAAGCTATCACTCAGTTAACATTGATTGCTAGCAAGGATGTATGGAGAAAGGAATCATTATTCATTTCCCTGTGAATATCAATGATGGGGAAGTCCTGGATATATGTCAATAAAGCACTGTTGGCCAATAGGGAAGGAAGATAGGTGGGACTAGGAGTTGAGGAGGATTCTGGGAAAGAGAGACACAGGCAGACATGATGTAGCTGCCATAGGAGTAGGAGGTCTGGACCTTTTCTCCGGTAAGAGAAATATTTAGATTAACAATTATGGGTTAATTATGACTTAAGTAAGAGCTAGCCAGTAAGAAACAAGCAAACAGCCAACAGCTTTATAATTAATGTAGTGTCCTGTGTGTTATTTGGGGACTGCAACTGTGGCAGGGCCCAGGTGGATGGCATGGAAGGCTACACTCTACATATCAATTAGTCCAGTGACTATTGAAATCAATGTAGAGGTTCCTCAAAAAGCTAAAGATAGAACTGTCATATGACTCAACTATACCATTTCGGGGTATATACCTTAGTGACTGTCAATTAATGTACCACAGAGATATTTACACACCTACATTTATTGGAGTGTTATATGCAATATCTAAGATCGAGACAACATACATAGTATATAATGCATGTACACGCTGGAGTTTGATTCAGCCATAAAGAAGAGTAGAATTAAGCTGTTTGTAGGAAAATGGCTGCAAGTGGAGGTCATCATTCAAAGCACAATCAGTCAGATTCAAACAAACATTCAATGTTTTCTCTTATTTCTAGATTACAAATTTTAAGTCAACAAAGTTATAGAGATGGGTGATGAGAAAGGAGAAGTTAGACAAGCAGGGGAATGAATGAATATTTGGGAGTGGGTGAAAATGGAAGGTGAGGGGAATATGATCAAAGCACATGACATTATGAAACCCATCAATATGTAAAGTTAATATACCAGTAAAGTTTTATGTTAATGCCTTTAGAAGGGAACACATGATTTTGTCCTTATTGTTTTGCGTCTTTCTTATAGCTAATGGGCATTCAGGAGACCAATCCTCAACCTTAGCCGTGGCCTGAAAGAAGCTGCAGGGAAAACCTCTAGTCACATAGACTGATTTAAGGGACTAGAAGTTAAGCGGACACATTAGCACGATAGTCTCTAGATTTTACACATTCACAAAAATTTGCTGTTTGTACCCAAACCTTTTCAGATATTCTGGTTCAGTCAGGGTACACACAGCAATAAGGGATTAATTTAGAGTCAACACTGTTTATCTGTTCCTTAGTTAAGGAAGCAAGTTGAAGTTGGGGTAGATTGCACAAAGTACCCCAGGTCTACTGTGTCCCTCCTCTGCAGAACCACTCCTTTAAGTCATCATTAGTCCAGAGTGACCCAGGCTTGTATTGGAGCACAGAGTGTTGTGTTGACCTGATGGTTAGATTAGATGGTTCACTTAAGAAATTTTTGTTCTCCTGCCATAATAGACTCTGATTCGCTCCTAAAGTTACCTCTCCCAGGTATGTTGTCTTCAGTAGGAACTATAATCCACTTGGCATCTGAGGTTTAGGACTTTGTCTTCTGACTGTCCTTTGTTTTGCCATGGATGGCCCAGCAAGAGTGACTGGCAAGTAATTTTCTATCAATTCATCATGCCATTCTGTCCATTAAGTAGGAGGTTCTTTAATTCCTTCTGTCTTACTCATCTTAAGTGTTCTAGACTCAGTTTAGATGCTCTTGCTTCCAAGAAAAATTCCCAGAAGCTTTTCTTTCAGTAACTATCTGTCTGTCTTCAGAAGTCTCAGAAAATGGGCCCAGTGAGACGGCTGGGTGGATAAAGGCACCAGTCTGGTGTCCATTTCTGATGATCCGTGTTTGATTCTTGAAATAAGTATGGTAGGAAAGAACACACACACACACACACACACACACACACACACCACACACACACACCTGCATGCGTGTTCAATAATCCTTCAGCTTCTTAATAGATGTATATAGTCATGACCACAACCAATTTAAATTTTCATCATTTCTCAAATAATCTATGAACCCTTTCATCCTCATATTCTGGTATACTAACCCTCTTCTAAGCCCTAAGCAGCAAACTGTCTGTTCTCTGTCTGTATTCTAGACTTTCATATGGATAACATCATGCAATATGTATTATTTCTACTTTTCCACTTAGCATAGTATTTTTGCACTTCTACAAAACAACGGCATATATCATTACTGCATTCCTTTATGTAGCCAAGTAGACTTCCGTCAGACAATTACATTTATCCGTTCATCCACTGCACGTTTGGGGTGTTTCCACTATTGGCCATTCTGAGTGATGCTGCTGTGCATATTCATTACCAATCTTTATGTGGAATACATTTTGCTTCTCTTGGGGTTGTACCTGTAAGCAGACTTGCCTGGTTGTATGATACATTCATGTTTACTTGCTTGAAGAAATGCAAGACTTTCTGAGAGTAGAGGGTCTGTTCACATTCCTGTCTGCAATGTATGAGGGTGTCCCTTTCCTTCATATCCTCCTTGGGTTTGGCATTATTTGTCTGTTTGATTCTGCCACTCAATCTGGTAGCGTGAAGGGCTATCATTGTGGTCTCAGCTCCTTTGGCTATTTTGTGTCTCCTCAGCATCAGCACAACACTCCCAGTATGCTTTGGGATGTATACTATTAATTGGAGGGATCGAATGCATTGAAAGGGCTGCTGTTTCTTTAATATTTCAGCAAGTGTCCAGCTGGCACCTGTGACGGCTGTACATTCTACTTTCTATGGGAGAGTGCAGAGGCTTGCCCTCTATGCACAGAGCATGACTTCCATGAAATTGAGGGAGCCTGCAAGAGAGGACTTCAGGTAAGGACTAACTTCTACAGGCATCATAAACAGAAGTCAACTGTTATTTCTATGTCCGTGAATAAATAGATTTCTTTGGATGCTAAAACTTCACAATTGAACACAAACAACGATTGCAAAAGAAAAATACTTCAGTGTGTATCTTTTAAAATTCTAAGCATTTATTTTTAAGGACTGTTTCAGTCCTATTTCCTTCCCTATTCTTTTCAGTTTTCCACTTTGTGTTGACTGGGCATGCACTTCCACCATTCTGTAAGTATTCCAGATACAGATGTGTATAGTTTACAGAATGTAAGTCCTTTACACATAGCTGATAGAGGCAAAAAAAAGGCTTGTGGGAAAAGTTTCTTATCAAATTGAGATCTTAAAAGTCTATACCAGGTTCTAAGTCTTGTTAAGCATCATATCTCACATTGTGCAGTAATAAAGATTTGAAGTGATACAGTGTTATCAGTAAGAGAAATGTTTTCGAATTTATCACCAAATTTATCTTAATCCTGTTCCAAAATCCCCCTTCATGCTGGAAGAAGAAACCGTTCGGCTGCCGTGTCAGCTGTCTTTCTGTTCCTGGTGATACCTGATCAGATGATTGAATCAGGCTTTCTAATAAATCGTTTCAGAGTGACTAAGAACGTTCCCCCAGTTACATTCTTTCTTTGACAGGTGATTGAATAGTTTGGCATTTTGGGTTTGTGCATATCATTATAATTTTGAGCTTTTGAGATGCTTAGAATATAGCCACTAGACAATGGAGCTTTTTAATACACCTTTCATTTATATACATTTGATAAAACTGTCTAGGCTTTTATACAAACCTTTTGTTCGGTGTGGGTAGAATGTATTTCAGATGAGACCCACACATGCTAGAGTTTGCTTTTACTCTGGTTTACATTTAGGTGGTTGTGAACCTAAGTGTGCCTCTGCATTTCCCACTCCTCATTCTTATAAAAATAATACCTATTTCAAAAGTAATTCATTGATGTTTTGTTAAATAAGAATGATAACAGTTGTCATGGACTAAAACCACAGGATCACAAGTAACCCTTTCTAATAAAACATGCTGAAAGATGTTATTTGAAACCTGCCTGAACCTTCTCCTCATTGCAAACCATTCTCCTGTATATTAGTTCATAACTAATGGTAGAAATGTATCTATGCACATAAGACATAAAGTGAAATATGGCTGGATCCTTTTGTTGGAGTATGGATAAAGTTATCATCATATAACAGAAAATTTAATGGTGAGCCAGACATAAAATGTAATGTCATTGGATTAATGATCATGTAAATAGATGCTGGTCATTTTATATACTTAGCTATATAAGGAAGAATGGGCTGAACTCTGATTTCCATATTGTATCTGCCTCATTTTATCACTTTATTTTTCAAAGTGCTTGGTAAGACCCAATGTGTCTTCTTTGTTGTTCACTGGTTAATTGTCACTTGCTATTTAGAGCACATTGACATTGCTTTAGGAATCAAATCATTTCCTTTGGGAGAGTGAGAATGCTTGGTATAGGTAGTGATGACCCTGAAGTCATGAAAATTTAAGGAAAGCAGCCAAACAAAGTGTCAAAGTGGGATTATTTCTATTCAGCTTCTTCAGCATATAATATACAGATGTGACTGATGAGATTTTTGCATTTAATTCATTATTTACTTATTATATAAGTCTCTTTACTTTCTTCCTAGACATTATTTAATATTAACTGAACAGGAAATATCCTTTATGCTTATGATGAGCATAAGTTAGCAAATCTTTTTCTTCTATGTGATGAGTTGACCCAGTACCAATTCTAGCATTTACAGTTGAATCATTTCTAATCTCATCTATGGTCTCATTTATTTGTTTGAAAAGGAAACATTATATGTGTGGAACGAACCTAAGTGGTGCATTAAAGGGATTACTTTGCCTGAGAAGAAGGTGTCAACCTGTGAAACGGTTGACTTTTGGCTGAAAGTGGGAGCCGGTGCGGGGGCATTCACAGCCGTTTTGTTGGTGGCTTTAACATGCTACTTTTGGAAAAAGAATCAAAAGTAAGTAACCTCTTTGATGTGATCTTCTAAGAACTAGAAAGTCTGCTTATGCTGTGAGAATGTTAGACCTAATTATTGTATGTTGTTCATTCCCTCAGTGACACAAGACATTTCTTCTGGCGAGGAAAGTGTAGGCAACGTGTTTGAGAAAGCAGGGAGAATAAATGATTCTAATTTTGATAATTGAAAGTGAATGGGATGTTACTAACCACTGAATTAGTCATTTGTTAGAAAAATGAAAAAGGTTTCTACGTTTACACAGATAGGATCAGGGCTAAGACCAGGTGGATCTGCTTTTCTTAACCTGACATAAACTGACTTCTTTCATCTTTCCCATTTAGTTTCTTGTACAAAGATGTTCTCAAAGAAACAGACTAAGCTATGGGCAAATATCATCTTTATGTATTCCAGGTCTCAAAGACGCTGGTTCTGAATGTTGAGTTCAAGCCCTGCATGTGTCTGTTACATGCTTGAATCTTTGGGATTACGTAGAGCTAATTGGGCTGTGGGGGATCTGTGCTCTAATTTTTAGGAGTAATTATAGCATCTAAATTCATAAGTAAAGAACAAAAGTACAAAGGAAGTAGAGAGATACAGTGAGAAGCAAATCATCTTGATATTCTCATTTTTGTGATCTAAACTTGAGAAAATATGATAGGGAATTTATATTGACATATTAATACACCAAGGAAATGCGTTCTGACATCAAGTCTTTTCTTTGTTTCACGAATGTTCTTATAATTGGATAGTGAGGTCAATGTAAAATAAGTGGTAAATTAACTGCACTGTATTGAACTGGTTTTCTAACATCCTGGGGAATATTTTTATATAGATGGTGGATAAGTGAGAACATTTAAAGCTGCAGCCACAGGAGAGGGTAATTTACTGCTGGAGAAACTAGACAGGACTACCAGGAGTATTTTAGAAGTTGATATATGAATGTTTATAATAAATATGATTTTTATTTCTGTAAATGGCTAGCTTATTATTTGCTTATTTATTTATCACTGCTTAGGCTGGAATACAAGTATTCTAAATTAGTAATGACAACTAACTCAAAAGAGTGTGAACTCCCAGCGGCAGACAGCTGTGCCATCCTGGAAGGTGAAGATAATGAAGAGGATGTTGTATATTCCAACAAACAGTCACTATTAGGAAAACTTAAGTCTTTGGCTACAAAGGTGAGAGCTGACTTTTAACCTGGGATTACTGAGCGTCTGTACAGCGGGGGCCACGCTGACCTAGCACCATTCATGCGAGCTCTGCCGTTCAGTATGTTTGTGCCTCACTAAGATTTACTCAGCAGAAGTACTCTAATATAATAGAGGTCTATTATATTAGATTAATAACTGAACACAGTGTTTCTGAGTTACCAAAGTAGAAACAACATGTACAGTCTGCATGAGAGTTAGGTGAGAAATTTTTCTATATCAAAATGATCCAATATTTTTTTCTTTTGAGAAAGAACTTAATATTGGGTGGGTAGGGAGGGAGAGATAATGGAAGGACTTAGGGGAAGAAAGAATATGATCAAAATATATTTAAATTTAAGAATTGTTTTAAGTAACCATAATTGTAGTAAAATATCAAAATATTGTTGTAATTGACAAAGAACTACAGGGAACTAAGAGAAGTTGAGAACAGGAGGAATAGTCTTCCCCAGGGAAGAGGACACCAACTGGTGGTCTAATACCAAATGGTCAGCCCTGAAAGCTTAAATACAAGTAACATCATACAGACGGAATGGGTTGTTTTTTAGAAGTATATGTATATATGTGTAACGACAATTAATTAAAAATAGGGGCCATGAATTTTAAAGAGTGAATGGTTGTACATGGGTAGGTTTAAAAGGGAAGAAAGGGAAGGGAGAAATGATATGATTATGTTATGATCTGAAAAATGAAAATTAAAACAATTGAGATATCTTTGTGTGCTGATAGGACAAGTGCAAACTAAGGTGAAAATAAGTAAACTATAATGTTTCTATAAGGTAAACAAATATACCATCATTTACATAGTTAGCCGTTAGCATTAGTTGCTTTGGGAATTAGAATTTAATGAGAATCTTTAAGTAAAACATTTTAGTAATTCTCAGGTTTTCACAAAGATCATGTATCATTTTATAATCTTAAAAGCAAAGTTTGGTTAATAAAAGATCTTATATTTACCTATACCTTTGTGTTTATTTTATGATTGTCTTTCCATAGAAAAATCACATAATTGGCTAGATGTTCATGGTGTCATGTTGGGTGTCATCACATCATTGGCTTTGTAGTGACAGATATATACAAATATTCTTCAAAATCACATTTCTTTGACATTCTTCACTAATGAGATAAGAATTTCCAACTTACCAACTCAAAATAAAGAGAAATACAATGAAAAATGAGGAAGAAAGTGCATTTCAAATGATTTGCAACAGACAGACAAATAACAGATGATGACATGGACTGGAATGATAGTCCAGTAGTTAAAGCACTTGCAATGAGGCAGAGGACACCAGATGGGTATGGAGTCCATCTGTGTTACAGCCTCAGAAGGTAGAGATGGATCCCCTGAGCAAACTGCCTAGCAAGGTAAGCCACGCCTGTGAGCTCTAGGTTTGACAGCAAGACCCTGCCCCATTGAGTAAGATGGGAGAGTCATCAGGACATTTTATGATATCAACATTGGGCCTCAGTATGCACACAACTACACATGTGGTCCCACATACATGCAAACATACATGGACACAGAAGCACATGAAAATAAAGTATAGTTGTAGGCATGATTTATTAACCTTTCACTCTCTGAGTTTAGGTACATTAATATAAGAAATCATTTAAGAATAAAATAAATAAATAACATCTCTATTGCATTTTTTCTGTTGTTAGTTTGTGATTTTTATGGAGGGTATGGTTGCTGTGGAATAATGAATATATAGTGGTGATCAAAAATTAAAGTTTTGCCCATTTGGTAGTGAACAAGTGAGCCTACCATAGTTTCATGTATGCTTTAGAAGACAGAAAACCCAAGACAGTTTAGAATTTGCAGAGATGTCCTTGGCAGAGCTACGGTACCCATACCAGTGTCCATCCCCAGTCCCCATAGTCATGTGCAGAGTAAATGATAACATGTTTGCATTCGTAAGCTTTGAGAGTGTGAATTTTATTGAGCATGAGCACAAGCTTGCCTGTCCTTTGTTCTTCATTATCTTGGGCAGATAAGATGCTGTCAGAGTGAGAAGCCATTTCCAAGACAAGTAGGTGTTTGTTGGAAAAGAGGAAACTACTTTAACTTTGACAGTTGCTTTCTATACAAACATGCTTTCCTAATTTTTTTTATTGTTTGATAGGTTCACACATTTATATAATGAATTTTTGTCACTTTCATCCCCATTCTTGAAAAATTAGTATGAAACAAAAATAAACCAGTGTTTTCTTCATAGAATGTGCAGAAGTGTAAGAAGACTTAGAGAATTATCTCATAGCCACATCTAAACTGTTTCTAATCACACCTAATCTCATCTTGGCTTCTGATGAATTTTCAGTAAATTCCATCCATCACTCTCCTTAGTGTGACTGCCTGAGGCTAGGATGAAGCCTTGTCCATTTTTCTCCATACATCATTGAAATGAAGCGTGTGTCAACAGGATATGAAGCAGCAAGATGAATCTTGTTTGCATCATTATCCTTAACCATATGCCAATTCCAGACTTACCTAGCTAAGCATAAACCCGTCATATACCATTAAGTTCTACTTTAGAGCAGAAAATATCTTTCTTGTCTTTGTGGTGGCAGTTCTGCTCAGCCAGGGAATTTTCCACTAACAGAAGGATGTTTCTGCCATAGGATTCAAGTAAAAATAGAGTCAAGAATTACCGCCTCCAAAAACACTGCACAGAGACCCAGTGTATTTCCCCTGTTTTTCTACACAGGATCTGTGAGCAATGCGTCCACTTCAATAATACTTATCAATTTAATCTAAGATACGGTGATCTAACAGGATAATTCACAACAGGTTGTATTAATGGTCGTGCAGCTTTTTGCCCTCCAGTATGAATTATAGGGTAGTTATATTTTCTATAATAATGTACAGAGAATGAGTTCATATTAATTTGAATGTCCTTTTACATGAGGCCATATAGTTGAAGGCAGAGACATATTTATAACACCCTTACTAGCAAAATGCTGCACAAGATTAGTGTGCATAATAAGTAGATTGTTTACTCATTTAGAAAAGCTTCTTATTGTTCTCTAGAGGCTGAATGATCTAATTGGGATGCTTTCATAAAATTGAAGATTTTTTTATGACTCTTCCTAATGGTAAAATCTTGTTTCTGGGAGACAAGCAAGTTAACTTCTGGTTTCTACACTATGGTCTCAGTGGTATGCGGGATGTCTTTGGAATTTATTATTAGTTACAATTGTTGGAGACACTAAGTAAAACCCACATCAGTCAGGAAACATCAGCTGACTGTGCCTTGAAAGGAGCCTAGGATGGCTAATAAAATTTAGGAGTTTCAACCTATCCCAAATAACTGTGTCCTTTCCTTTTCAAGATGGACTGTCAATTCAGCTTTCCTACTTGTCTGTACCACAAATGGGGTGGCATTTATGGCCCCCATGAGATGACTGAGTGAAATCTGTGGGAACAGGGATGTTGGTTAATATTGGGGTAGGAGCTGGGACCATTCTCTACTACACACAATGTATTTCTCAGTAAGTCTGAAAGGAATAGCCAGAAAGTTGTGAGTGGGGCATGTAGTGGATATGGCAGACCAGGAAGTCATATAAGGTGTTTGTATCTCTTTGAGAGAGATACACTGGGGTGTTTTCTTCAGAGGCTTGTGATAGAATGGTACTGAGGGTGCTCAACAGAGCCCCTTCTTTCTTCACCTCTCAGATCTGAAGTTTCCGAGTGTCCGTCTCTTATGTTATGCGTCTTCAATGCCCTGTTTCTGTAGCTACATCATCACCTGTTTCTACTCGGCCTCAGTTGGCACTCAGATTTATTCTCTAGACACTCAAGTGTGAGAGGGCCCGGAAACTTTAAAATCAATGGAGACCTAATGTGTGCCCCACTTTTGTCCATGTGGGATATTACAGGGAGATAGAGTTAGCAGCATACACCACAAGGGATTATTATCCTTTTGATGTAGGATCACGACAATACAGCAGGACATCTCTGCTTTATCCCTTGCAGAAATTCTCTCAGGTCCAGAAAGGTTAGTGACTTGGGGTGACTACATCCAGCACAGTCAGGTTGAAAACTGCTCTCAGGCTCCCAAACAGACTCCAGTGGTCTGCATGCTAGTCTGTTTCCTGGTGACAAGAAATCTGAGTTTCTCTACTGATCATCATCCTTAACATCCAGTGACAGGGTAGATGGACATTAAGAGTGAAGAGGAAGAATGTTTGAGAGCAAATAGACTTTGCACCTGCTCTTGTTACCGTCAGCTCAGCTGCTGCTCATTGTTCAATAAAACTGCTATTTTTTATTCATCCAAAGTCATGCTGAATAACAAGGTTGTCATTACTGACATTATCTGGTTTAGCTTTGGGGCCCTTTGAATCACAGGTGACATCACAGTTGCTTTCTGCGTGAGTCCACAGATTTTCTGGCATTTGTTGATTTAAACTTAGCTTATATCCTGGAGCCCCTCTACCCATGCAAGAATCGATTTTAATCTAGAGTATTTTTTTCTTTCATCTAGTTAGTTCTTGGGTTTAACATGAAGGATAGAGGAAGTTTCTGTGTTATAGTTGGCTATGACAATTTATCTGGATTCCATTTGGTCAGTTTCTTATAATACAATGATACCCTTATGCCTTATAAATACACCCTGAAGTTAAATGAATGCCCAAATACTAGTCAATTCCTTGCAATATGTGCTTGTGGGAATTGTTTTCAGAAAAATGTCCCAGAGAAAACCTGTTAGTCAAGAAATACACAAAATCTTGAGGCCTTTTTCCTGTCAGCTTTTATTTAATTAAGTTTATGTGTGTTGCATGTTTATTTATGTGGATGCTTATACATGTACCTGTGTATGTGTGTGTGCATGTGTGCATGCCTGCGTGTGTGTGTGTGTGTGTATGTTTGTGAATATGTATATGTGTGTAGATACCATAGGTTATTCCTCAAAGGTCTGACCTCAGATGTTATTCCTCAGGTACAGTCCACATTGTTCCTTGAGATAGGA